CGTGCATCAACCACCCATGCATCAATCAACAAATAAACAACTCCACTTGAGCAAAAATATAGCTTTGCTTACCTCAGGTAGCTTAGTTTCAAGGTAGAAGAAAATGAGGATTGGGGCTCCGAACGAACTCAACTACTAGATTCAAGATTTCCACCCCTTGAATCACAACAAAAAAGCTTAGAAAATTTGGAAAGAAGAAGAGAAGAAGATTGAGAGAAAAAGCTCACGGACCAGAGACTTTCTCTATATAATCCTCTTTCTAAAACACTAAGGGAAATGAATTTATGAAAATCTGTTCAAAACAAAAACTTTATATACTCTTCCCTCCGAGGTTAAATTGAGTTTATGCCCAAAGAACCCCTTTTCAACACTATTAAAGCTCTAAAGGGATTCTGAGAAGCCTCCTAACTCTAACAACTCAACTTAATAGCATAAAACAATTAGGAATAGTATAACACTATCACAACATACAGTGATACATTCTTCACTTAAGAGGAGTTATTATTTCAAATTATAACCTCACCTCTTTAATCCCTTTGAAATTTTTTAAAAAAATCAATTCATATTTACAATTAATAAGAATTATAATTTAAACACTATTAGCTATAATATATTATAAATATGTATTTAATTATACTAAAATAAATTAATTTAATTATATTGATTTTACTATATATTTATAATTATCATAATTGACATTAGGTTGGATTAGTAAGATAATAAATAATTAAATCACTTATAATTAAATAAAGATTTTATATATTTACAATCTTGAGATGTTTGTATTTGGTATGTTATGTATAAAGCCTGTGTTGTGCATTGTAAATTGGTAATAAGTAATAATATTATTCAAAATGACTGTCATTTATTTATAACAATATAAAGAAGATTCGTCATTTTTGTGTATACAAATTTTAAGACGATTTTACCCTTTATTTATTATGCTAACTACACAAATCTTTTTTTAGTGGATGAAAACTCAATAATTTCACTTAATTAATTTAAATAAAATTTATTATTTTTTAAAAATAAATTAATTACTTTGTAACTTCCACATCACACAACATAACAAGATGTGAAGTGTCTTTTTTTTTTTTCTTTTTCACTAGTATGATAATAATGTAAATAACATGGGAACGAAAATTTGGAAATCCAAAATGACACATTGATATGAACTTGACAAATTCATTATATACCTCAACTATAAATTAGGGTGGACATAAATTTGATTTGGATTTTTGTTACTTTTTTATTTGATTTAATTAAATTAAATCAGATTGATTTAAATTGAATTTTAAAATTTTTAATTTTAGAATTCAAGCCAAATTAGTTTGATTATAATTTATTTGGTTTAGATTGATTTATCATATTTATCATTTAAAAATAAAAAATAAAAAATAAAAAACTAAAACTAATGCGTTGTACGAATGGTTGTAGTATACGTATGTTTACATTTTAACCGTAACAAATGTAGAAGAATAAAAGTATAACGCTAAAAAAAACTTTGAATAGACTATGAAATGTTGATTAAAAATATTATAATATTAAGAATCAATCCAAAGTTTGGCCCATCATTTGGCTAAACGACCACTGTAGCGCATTTTTAAAAATTTATTACCAAAATAATGTTATTTTGAAACAATTTACACCTTTGGAGCTCTTTTATTGGGTGTCGCTATGGGCCATAGCGACACCCAATCTACCTAGTTTCATCCCCCTTGAGCTTGTAGGGGGTGTATTAGAGAAGAGAATAGAATAATAAATCCTTTTATTTGTTGTATTATTTACATGTATTCAAATATAATTTTCTGCTTGTATTTGCTAACAGTTTAGGTTAGTTAGACTTGTTGTTGACTTACTCTTGAGTTAGTTAAGTCTGTTAGGCTTATATATATGTAAGTGATACCTCTCGTGTACTACTTTTATCATTTTTACTCTCATTCAATAATATTGAACTTTAGAAATCTTCTTTCAATTCTTTCTCTTATAAGAACCAATTTGGGAAGATGATTAAAATATTCAGAAGTGACAATGCTAAAGAATATTTCTCTTTTGAGCTTTCTTCTTTTTTATCTTCACAAGGCATTTTACATCAATCCACATGTCCTCATGCACCACAACAAATGGCATAGCAAAGAGGAAGAATAGACATCTCATTGAAACTGCACACTCCCTAATGTTAAATATGAATGTTCCTGTACATCATTTTGGGGGGGGGGGGG